GCCCTAAAAATGTTGGGGCAGCTTCACATTAGAAGCTGCAAACATTAAAGTTGAGCTAGGTGGCTATCCTTCCCTTTATTTTGTTGTTTTTTTTTCTTCCCTTTCTTGATATGCCTCTCATCTCTCTATATTTTCAGCCTCTATATGTTTCTTTGTCTTTATACACAATCATTTCTCTTCCTAGCTCTTTCTCGCCATTATTTCTCTCTTTCTAATCTTCGCTTCCTCTTCATCCTTTTCTTCTCTTTTACGCTTGAATGGCCAAGTGGTTGCAATGCCTGCGTTCTGATTGCGGTTCGAAACCTGTGTCGCGAAAAAATTTTATCGTCAGGAATTTTGCCCTCTGACTTTTAATTTCTCTGTGTACTTATCTCTTGCTAATCGCAGTTATTGCATCCCACACCAGACTAATCAGCACAGCGCGAGAGCACACGCAGGGCCCACAAGTTCGGTGAGCGAAGCAGAAAATGGGGAACACAGGATGAAAAGAGCGTGCGCCGGCCGAGTTATTGCATTGCACAAAGGGGCGCATACATATAGCCAGCGACTTTCACACCGGCCTGTACACCCCCCATCCAAGATTTTTTCGCCATGGCATAGACAACAAAAAATTACCATTTCAAGAGGGTGCCATCCCCCCAAAAGAATTTTCTGGCTACGCTCCTTGTTGCATGCGCTACAAAAGTGGATCCATTAATGGTGATGGTGGCAGTTAATGCAGATGCGTAACGGTATACCTAAAAGCATAACACCTCCGCTGTAAAACGAGGACACCACCGTCACCTGGCTGCCCGTGGTGCAAACACCTACGAACCGATGCGGTTCATGTGCTTCCGGAGTGGAAGGAACAAGAGTAGAGCAGGGCTGTCTGGTGCGGGGAGCCTGGCTGAGCGATGGCAAGCTGCTCTTCCCAGCGAGGGCCCATCAAGAATGGGTAGTTCAGCGGGCCACGACCGTCACCGAAGACCTGGGGAGATTTTCCTAGAACTGTAAATCCACGGCAGCTTATAGTCTTAGTGGCAAGAGTGAACCGTTCTTTGTGGCAAGAGGATGGAGTTTATGAACTCTAGCCCGACAAGATTGCATAATTCTGTAAAAGAGTGGCATGACTCCCGCACAGAGTGTATGCGTGATTGTACTCTGGCGTAGGAGCTTGGTCACTCTCGTTCTACTAGAGTACGATAACTTTGTCGAGAGAGTGTGCCCATTCTGTGCCGCATAGTTTCCAGCTCTACCAAAAAGAGAGTGAAATATGGGACATGAATTCACTCCCGCAAAGAGAGTTGCCAGCACTCTTTTGCCGCTGTGAAAGTATAGAGCCTTGGGGATAAGTAACAACTGCAAAACAAATAAAGTTTATTCAATACCACAAAAGAATGCAACAACACAATGTCAGTGAACGCTCATGCTGCAGCCTTCTCTTGCGGTGTTCTGTTACAGCATAACTGTGAATTGCAAAGAGTGTGAAAGCGATGCACGAGGTTATTTTGTTAAGTGCCTTTTTTTCATACAGCACTTTAAGAACTTTGACTCCTTTTAAACATTTGAGACAGGCGCTTAGCCAGAAATTTTTTTTGGGGGGGGGGGGGGGGGGCACCAACTTGATTCCAAGAGGGGCTTCTGGGGGGGGGGGGGACATGTGCCCGGTGTGCCACCCCCTGGCTACACTCCTGATGTGAGAGTAATATGTTGCACTCTTTTTAGAACGTCAAAAAACTCTCTTCCGGAGAGCAGTACGTAGACTCTCCCAAAGAGAGTCAACGTGCTTCTCTAAAGGAAGTGCTGCACATTGGGATTAAAGGGGAGTCAAAGGACAGCTTCTTTTTCTTGGAGTGGGAGGCCAGAGCTCACTCTCTCCAGAGCTAACGACGCTTGCTATCAGATGACGAACAGCACATAGCAAGCTATTGCCTAATAGCGAGCATCAATGAAGAGCGGTGTTCATATCTGACACGCGCTTGCCGCGTGATAGCCACACCCACAGAAGTTGCAGCGGCAAAAAGTGATCATGTTTCATCACATGTTCTGGCGTAATTTCCAGCCCCGCATCTTCCCTGCCTATGCAGCTTCCAGCACGCTCATCGGGTCGAGAGAAGGCGCTCATAGCGTGGGTGAAATACCTATGACTCCGCTCCTTCTAGATGGTTTCGAAAAATGTTTTGTGGCTATCAATTTGCAAAGAAATAAACTTCAATAGTAGGATAATTCTACGATTACCTGGGAATCTGGTTGAGGACTCCTTCAAGCTCTCTGCGTAAAGTGTGTAATTTATTACAAGACCTTTAATTTTGTGAACTGCTGGATTGCATGAGATTTGAACATCCCGCTTCCCTTCTACGTAGCACCAACGAGCGACCCGAATGCTTATGTCCAGTCTAAGTCATTGTGCCTCCCTTGGAACACAGGCAGCGCGCAGTTCACGTGTTGACGTGGGCTGCGCGCTACAGTGGTTATCAAGTTTTTTCTTTTCGTGTACACCATGCATTTGCCTTTTTCCGTTTTCCTGTGCTGCCCTCTGCCCTTTTGATAAGGGCCGAGACCATCCTCATCACAGGAACGAGTCGGCAAGATCAAAAACTAGGCATTTTGAGACTTCTCCACTAGGAGAATGGCGCATATGCGCCAAAGAGATGGATTGTCCTTGCTACGTTGCTTGCTGCAAGTCTAGCGATTGGTAACATGTCAAGGCCTAACCAGACGCGTTGCAGTGTGTCAGCACGTGACTATTTGATGCAACGTCGCGCTTTGTCTCTAGGGAGAGAGATGACGTGCAGGTCCGAGTAGCCATGCACCCTCTCTTATCATCGGCAGAAGACGCGGCGCTGCGTTATGAAGCTGAGCGCTAACACGCTGCAACGCGTGCGTGTCGTCAGGCCTTCAAAGCTACGACGTCGCTTAAGGAATATAAGGAAACTAGCGAGCGGAGTCAATGCAGTGAGTAACAAAAGAGCAATAATAAGAGCTCCCCTGAAAATCTCTGTCACTGCTGCGTTGCGAGTCTTTAAAAGCGACTCAGTGCTCGCACCCATCAAAACCGAAACCTATGTGGAGCTCGTCCAGACAGCTTGCATATTCCAATCAATCCGCGCTAACCCCTACTGCACTGCTATCATCAAGCAAGAGCATGGCACACTGCTACTGCGTCCTTCTGACATCGTGCTTCCAAAGCGAAAGCCTTTAATGTTGTATGTCCTATCGCCCGTCGCATTGTCGGGCCCAGATATCATTGCCCCCGTCATGATACAGGTCCACAGTTGTGTCACTGGGTTCGCTATGTAAACTTGCTATGCTACGCCAAATGAGACATTATGAACAGTGACGACGAAACTTTAATTAATAATATGCGTAGTTCTTTTATTCGCCGGCACTACTTGCGGTTTCAGCGGAAACCAGCCATTGTGACCGTCTTTTACAGGAGGAGGAAAGGCGCACCGGCAAGCGGTTTGGAGAAGCTCCCCAATAATGTAGATTCCCTCCGATACCGAACGTTACAACAAATGCTATGGAGGCAAAAAAGAAAAAAAAAAAAGGAAAAAGAGGCTTGGTCAGTGAAATGGCCACACATGCCTTCGCCTAACACACCATAGAATTTAATCGTTGCACTCGCGCTCCACACGGCCTCTTTTTTATATCCTTTAGGTACTAAGTCTGCCCTTGCTCTCACTCGAGCTGAATCACTCACTCACGGCACTCCATCTGATGTCATCGATAATCTAGCCTCTCTCTCTCACGTCACCTTCACACGCATGCACTTCTACTTCCAACGTTCGTGCCTCTCCCCATCCGTCCAACACGTCCCTCGTTTTGCATGCAGGCAGTCATCATGCAGCATCATTCCCCTCATTTATCTACACAGCGAGTCGCCTACACGAGTCCCTCATACATGGCTCCTTGGGCCTCCTGCGGCTCTGCTACCACCCACTCCTTTCGACACGTGAAACCCACTCCAGCGGGCCATACTTGCACCCGCCAAATGTACTGTCACTCAAGGTCCTTTCCATTGTTCGTGCAGTAGAATAATTCCCCCCCCCCCTCTCTTCTGCCTCTGAATACACTATATCTTTCCGACTCTTACTCCACCATCAGTCACATACAGAACCGCACCTTGCCCCATTCCTTAGCACAGGACGTTGAGTGAGCTGTCTCTGCACTCCAACTTTCCACTGCGTTCCCGGGCATTCAAAAATTGACGGCAATGAGCTGCAGGCTCATCGGCTAGCCTGCGATATATTGTACCAGGGACCGTTCATTCCTTGGCCGACACTTTCCGAATACAGTGGAAGCTCCGTAAAGAACGACGAGACGATCTTTCTCCCTGTGGCACACTACCAAAGAGGCATACCTCCAGCTCCGACTCGACAAGCGTCTTTACTCTACCCCTCATTCATTACTCACTGTGCTAGAGGCTCGAATTCTCCAGCACATTCGATTGATCTGCCTGATAACCCCTTTTTGCCTCTTTCTCTATAAATGTAGATCAGACCCTTGCTGTCCCGATTGCATTTCTGCACATTCCAACCTGTCACATTGCCTCTTCTACTGATCAATTGCTCAGCAATCTTGTTCTTACTCTTCCCTGACCAACACTACCTGTCTGGACTGTATCGGCGCTGAAGGGGAAGAACAGTGTTGATTGCTTGTGCAAGCAGTCAGAATGCTTGGCCTTTAGTTTGAGGATGAAGGTACTACTACTGCTACTACTACTACTACTACTACTACTACTACTACTACTACTACTACTACTACTAGTACTGCTACTAGTACCCTGCTACAAAATGTCCTTCGATATTCTGCAACTCAAAACTGTGTTTCACCTCGATTCATGATAAGCTTTCTAAACACGCCAGGGCACTGCTCACATGATGTCAGACAAGGTTCAACAACAAGCTCAAAGGTGGCTGCTTACAAATTTTTGTACCCTGGGTGCACTTATATGATGCGAGAAAAGAGAAATAAATGGTAACAAGAGGGAAAACAGAAAAAAGCGAGTACGGTACAGCTTTGAAATGTTAACACACAATTTACTTCTCAACTTCTGTTCAAATAAATTACAATAAATACAGCAAGGTCACGAATCATCAGGTGACGCAACAGTGTAAAGAGGCACTGCGTCATGCACACAACACCAGAAATGACAATTCCACGGGGATAAAAATGACACAACCACTAAATACAAGCAGACGAATTTGAATGCCTGCGAAAGGTCACCACATGTCGACTGTTCATTGAACCGATCTCACAACCGAGATTCTACGCTCCACCATTCTCACACTTTTCTCAATGACACACATACATCTGCATGCAGTAGGGTCCACATACCTGCAGTTTGTCGCGACACATAGACCAGCCATGCAAAGATCAAACTCGCCTTCGTAATAAAAACAACACACTACCATCACTCATAACCGTCCCAATGAAACGTGAAGAAAAACAACCCAAAACAAACCACAGAGTGGTGTGCTGGTTAGTCTTAGACACATACTGAAGTGCTTAAATTTCACTTTTCACTTCGTGACCAAACAATAAGTTAAAATGTATATTTCAGCAGCCTTCTGCACCGGGAGTTGCCAGACAAGCATGCTGAGATACAGAGCCTAAGCTAGATAGCCTATCCTTTACTCAAGATACTGCACTTTTTTATCACCATGTTTGCAACAGAAACATTCAGCTAATTTTATCTTAAAATTTGCATACCGTAAATTAGCATCGGCCATGAAATAGTAGCTAGCAAGCATACATACTGCCATCTTTCAACATTGTGATAACACAAAGGCACACATATTATCATCTTTTAAACAGAAACACAGCAGCATGCTTTTCTGCCCTCAAACATTTTCCTTCTGGGTTCGAATTTTTTGTTGAACAGTCACACTTAGCAAGACTTTTTTCAGCGTACAAACAGAAACTAGGAAATGCATTATGATTTATACCTCGAAGGTATCGAGAATATACACTGTATGGTAGATTACATGAAAGGCTATGTTCCAAATATGGCAGCCACTTAATGAAAGGCACCTCCACAAGAAGGAGTTGTGCTTTTAGAAGTAACCAAAAGATCAATTTTTCCCACAGAAAAAGTTGTGCTTTATAATGTAACTGAAAGATCAATTTCAATGAAACTTTGGGTTTTCTCTGTCGAGAATGTGAAAACCAACACCTGCCAGCTCGTGAATGGCAAAAGTTGCAAAGCCTCGTAAACACTCTACCTCGGGAAGCAACTATAGGCAGCTCCTTTTTGAAAGCTTGCTTCAAAACCATCCTTTCTGGTGGATACATACACACTTCATTAACAGATTCAATTTAGCTTTACACAGAGCACGCAAGAACAAGAAAACATGGGCCAGACAAGTTCTTGGATGAAAAACAATGTTAACTAATCGTGCTGTTAGTGGTGTCACTTCATTAGAAAGCTTGAGTGAAACAGCCAGATGAAATCAGGTGGCCATCTGGTGTCGTTTCACAACAAGATTTTCCACAGAAACCTGAGAGGCCGACCAGTAAACCTTTTACATGAACAGCTCCGACTTCCCCCTAAACCTGACACAAGTGTACAACTGCAAAGTGACCATGTATTCGCAAATGTTACAAATAAATTAGGGAGGGTATCAGGGCATAGAGGGTAAGTAGAAATATTCAACGTGAGATGTTTGAAAGCAGTGATTTGACGAGGCAGACCACCCTCATTTTCAGACAAAAAAAAAAAACTGCAAGGTTCAACAGCACAACGAACGAAGACGAAAAACGCATGAACAACAGGACCTGAGCTGTTGTTCATGTATCTTTCGTCTTCATCTGTTGTGCTGTTGAACTTTGCAGCTGTCACGGACACTTGACTTGACCAAGGCACTCCCAAAGAAAATCGGTTTATGCCAATATGTACTGCCAGTGTTGAAAACTACAGCTACGATCAGTATGGCCTTGATACTGTGATATTGAATCGCAGATCCAAAGGACAAATGCCTTCGACCCTTCAGTAACCGTTAAGAAATTTACATTTCAGAATCCACTGCACTAAGTCTCAACACTGCACTCCTGTCGTACAGCACAATTTCTCGTCGGCACCCACGCCAGAACTCGGCCACATGCCGACACGCTTTTGCAGGCAAGAGTATTTTAGCATCAAAGATAGTGCTTGATGTCTGAAAGTCATTGCGAAAGTTGCAGTATCATCAGTAGCTGGTGCAATACTGAGGTAAAGGATCTAAGAAAAATGAGATTCATCCATAAAATACAAAGCTAATAGACCAAAAAAGAACAAAAAACATGCACAGATGAACAATAAAAGCCACGTGTGCAAGACGAAACTACATCAGACATGCAATACATGCACTATAAATCTAGTTGCTTCTTTCCTTCGACTTAAAGCATAGGAGTGTACAAATGCATTGGAACAAAACACATTCAAGGTCTCGAATCGGACACTGAGAATCTTTTCAAAAGTGCAGCCAAAGAGGCCAGGCAGCGCTTTAATTCGCATCACTCTAGAACACACTCACATTCTATGCAGTGTTGCAAAAGAGCAAGCGTGTATCAATGCCTTTGCATGAACGTTACATAACGTTGGGAGTTCTGGTGAAGAAGGAACGAAGGAGTCACAACATGAAATCAGGATGCTCAGTGTTCAGCATTGTATCTTCTGTGGGATGTTCACTTCACCTATGCTGCGAACTTTCTATGGGGCATTGTTTGGCTTCAATGAGTCGATTTCAGGTATAGCATGCCAATGTGTCATGCACACAGAACACCAGCATTTTTTAAAGAGACACCAAAGAAAAATAATTACTTGATTTAGATTCATAACCTGCACTGTGAGAACTCTAATGCCATAAGTTTCTCTGTCATAAGTTCATCATTAGCGGAAAAAATCAAGGTTGAAGTTTTATTTTTTAATTTCGCACTGAAATCTCTGCACATGACACAGCAATTTCAAAATGCATTTTCCTATTTTCGAGACATTGGCTCCATGAAATTTTCTGCGACTTCAAATGCTAGGTCTAGGGCACCCACAGAAGACAATATACTTCATTTTTATTGAGTAGAAGCTATTTAGAACCCAGTAGACACCTTCAAAATTTACTACGCCAAGGTGTTTGGCGTCAGAATCTCACAGTGGTGTCTCCACACACATTTTGTTTTCACGCATTTTTTCACTTACTAAGCCTCAAGTCGCGGTAAGAGAAGTGTTTTTGGAATTGTGAAATTGTACATTACTAACATGCGAGAAACCACTTTGCTCTTTAGTGCGCCTTTAAATTCATTACCTGCAGCACCAAGAAGCATTATGACAAGGTGGGCACACACACACACAAAAAAAAAAAGGCAATAGAGATGACACAGTCACCCATTGTTACAGTGCTGTCAAGGTTGTCACTGTGCACTACTTGCAACGGGCATGCTGCTGCAAGAACATACAAAAATGTTTTGTGTGTAAGCCCTGATAATGACAGCACACTTTGTCGTGCTGCCCACACCATTCAGCCACATCCACTCTCTTCCAAAATCAAGATAACTACAATCTCCCACAACGCATGGCCGTTTAACTGTTAGCTTGATCACAAAATTACAGAGAAACCTTAAGGTATAGCCACAGAATGGCTGTGGCAAGCACGAAGAATGTGCAGGTTCAACCCATCCAGCAACAAAGATTAAGTCACCGGGTGCTACATTCGACAGGGTGTCTTCGGTTGAATTTTATTTTATTCAACCATACATCCGGTTCCTGCAGAGCCCTAATCAATGAGTTTACACCATGGCATTTTATTAAGTATTTGTGAACAATATAAAAACATGTTAAATGAAGAACACAAATAATATTAATAATAATCATAATATCTGGGGTTTTCTGTCCCAACACCTCGATATGATTATGAGAGACGCCATGTAGCAGAGGGCTCCAGCAATATTGACCACCTGGTGTTCTTCAACGTGAACTGACATCGCACAGTACACGGGCCTCTACAATTTCGCCCACAACAAAATGAGTCTGCCACGGCCGGTATCGAACCCGTGACCTTCGGCTCAGTAGTCGAGCACCCTAGCCACTGTTCCGCAGAGGCAGACAATAAAGGAAAGAAAATACAGACTATTACTGAAAAACTACATAATACTCGACCTTTCACAGCTGCTCTCAAAGACACTAAAAGCATAAGGCCGCTTGATATCACAGCTGAAAAACAAACAACAAATAAAAAAAAGACACTGCAAAAATATCTGAGCGTATACAACTTGATCCATAAGGGGAAGCGAGAAAGTGGCTCGAAATAGAGATTCGGTAACAGGCAGTAGCATCACAAAACATTAAGTAGAAGCATTAACCAAAAAAAAAGTCTGCACATAGTGATCATAAACATAAATGCACAATTACCCTTCAGGGATTGCTAATGCACACCATGGAAGCCTCAGAACCCAACAGCATTTGTTCAATGCAGCCGTGCAAACAAGCGGAGGAACACAGACAAACTGAACACCAAGGAGGAACAATATTCAGCTCCACTAAGGAGTAGTTCAGAACAGCTCAGAAACGAATGCGGTGGGACAGTGCTGATAGCTTCATGGGGTGCAGCGTGGGAAAGCCACACAGGGTCGGAATGATTACACACTGGAGGGATGCGTATTAGTACTTGTAACGTAGAACACAGATTCGCGCTTTCAGATTACACTTTCATGTAACCGCAGAAGCTGATTTCGAAAACAGAACCCACAACCTTGTTCATTTATCAGACAGCAAGGGCCGTGCATTCAGAGTAAAAAAGTGCAGCCCACTGTGAATACATTGCAATTGTCTACACTGCAGGTACACTACAGGTACAGTATGCTAAGTACGCCGGACAAGCAATGTTTTGACTGCTGTCGAGTGTCCTCTGTTTAATATAGACAGATCTCCTGTGGACGCACCGAGGCTCGCAATTACGGTGAGGTGCACAGCACACAATACAAAAATATGCTCATTCATCAGGCTAGAAAAAAAAAAAAAAGGATAATCTCATAAGCAGATCAACACATTTTCACAACTCTGCAATCACTCCCAAATCGAGTGCAATTAGCAAAGACAAGCTTCGGCAAAACGCTGTCCTGACTAACTCCAAAATAGCTGAAGGCCATGATGAATCTGAAAAAATTATCCAATAAGGTGTAATTATTGAACTCCATGTGCGAGGGCTGATGCGTTCACTGCTAAACTTGCATTGCGAGCATTGACTTTCACCCGTCATCATAATAATGTAGCTGAACAAGCAATGGAGAAGTTGCTACAAGACATTAGGCACCAAAAATACCTTCAAATATGCCGTATTTTACAGCGCATTACCTGTCCCTGAATATAACTCGCTCATCTAACTGCAAACCACAGAAAGAAAGACTAAATTGAAAAAGAAGTCAACAAGATCAAACATACTTTGCAGCACATTTAGCCTTCTGTCTTTTTACTTAGTCTTCCAAAATGTAAGATCACTGCGTACAGTGAAATCCCGGTATAACGAACCTCAGGGGGCCGAGGCAATTTGTTTGCTATTTCGAAAGGTCATTACAGCAAAAGTCCAAAAGTTGACCATAAGTACTTATTTTCTACCACCCAAAAAGACTTACTTCTACAATACAACGGTGGGTCCTTGAACGCGTTTTTCACGAGAAAGAACTAATGCACAAGTGAACACACACAAAAAAAAATGCACTTTCACTTTAAAAAAGTCTGTGTTTTTTTTTTTTTAAGCGTGCAGCAGAAACTTTGCAGCACGAAGGCCTCTAGCTCATCCACATTCCTGTGGTGCGATTCAGTTCTTTGGTCACAACAGCCTGCTTTTTGCTTTCCAGTTGCCAAAGAATATCCACTTTCTTGGTTAGTAAAAACTGCTACCGCTTCTTCGCAAGCAGAGATGAACTCATCTGTAGTAGCACTGCAGCTAGAACGCAGACTTGTTTTGCGGACACGCTAAGTAAACACTGAACAGAGATGAACACGACTGACAAACAAGGCCTCCTAGAGCACATGTAGAAGTGACAAAGAAAGAAAAACCCCAAGCGTCGTGGCTGTCATCACCTCTTCTGAAGAAAAAAAAGGGCTAAAAAAGAAAATTCCTTGCGTTTCGTTTTCTGCTCCCTCGCTGTCTCAGGTTTTCCGTGCGCATGCTTCCTGCTCCGCAACTCCTACTCTGCCTTGCTGATCTTACCCTCCCTTGTTGCCCACGCCCCTCGCCTCGGCGCTTGTAAACCTGCAGCGTTGGCGTTTCAACAAAAAGAAAGAAAGGAAAGTCGTCCTTTCATTTTATTTTTTCCCTCCACATTGTCGCGGGTTTTTAGGAAAGCAAGGCGTCTGTTCGCTTTGTCGTCTGCTTGCATACCGCTCCAGTGGTCGCAACGGATTTCGGAACATGAGTTCGTAGTACTGAGGCGTTGTTAATATAACTTGTAACTAAATTAGTTCTCGTTATTCTGAAAAGTTCAGTATACTGAAGTACATAGTAGTGAAATAATTTTACATTGAAATTATTAGGAGTCGGCGCAGGATTTACAAAGGTTCATTAATCTGAAAAGTTCGTTAATGTGGGGTTCGTGTTACCGAGATTTCTCTGTATTCCTCTAACATTGACAACCTCGCAATACCACGAAGCGGTGTGTGTCGTGAAGCTAACTTGCAGACCGAAATTCGCGTATAACTTGCACCCACCCAGCTTATCTCTAACTAATCTGAATATTTTGTGCAGGTAATCAGTGATAAAATACGATACCTGCACTGAGAGTTCCTTTGAAACAAAAGCAGCATAAACTGGAGCATAACCTGAATGAACATTCATACTTGAAGTCATATGCGACCTGTGACAATACACGCGCAATTAAACACACTTTAAGCTACAGTAAGGCTGCTATGTGGACACTGGCACTGAATAGCTGAAAGATGTTTAGGCAATGTGAATGCTGCAAAGGAGCTCCTTGAATTTTCTATCCCAGGCATGCAGCTAGCTATGTTGCACGATACATTTATGTGATGTGCAAACCATTAAAAAAGCACCTTCGGTTTCCTATCCATAACTCCTCATTGTGACATACATAACTTTTTCCAGATGTGAAAGCGGTGGCGAAAGTTCACTCTAGATAACATGCTGGAAATTCGAGATTCAAATTGACTATCGCGACCCCACAAAATAAAGTCTTGGTGTGTTCATGCCTTCTAATGGTCGTTCTCGTCATGTGCAGGTTGCAGAATGTAAGCAATGCTCACTAGCTAGCTTTCAAATAATAATTGGCTCATACCTCCTTCATACGTCACAAGATAAATAAACCAAGGTGTTCATACGTGTAGCCTCCAAAGTTTTCAAGAGGGGATAAGTTGAGATCCGTTCCCTAAAGCTAGGGTTATAAATTAACGCTGGCATTCTGATGACTGCCACAACTAAAAGACCACACATGTAAGAGACCAGACATGTTGCCCAATAAATGTAGGGAAAGCGAAAGAGTGAAGAAAATAAAAGACACCTTGCGCTGCCTCATCAGAGAATCTGCAGCTGGCAATCAAAGAACTGGAAGACTTTGCTCCCATTTCATGAAACATTCAGCCTCATATGCAAGCAGGCATCTGCCCCGTTCGCATCCACTTTCGATTCTTTGTCTGTGCCATATGCAATTTCTGCATCTAGGACCACCCCTGAAAACTCAAGAGCTGCGAACCTTGGCAATCTTGCCTCAATCCTCTCATCTCTTTCGTCTAGTGTTGCCTCGTAGCCAACACAATGAGTGTTTATCCAACCGACCTAAGGTTGTTGCCTCATTTTCAAACCATATTGAGTCGTCGATCTGGCTGTGCAGCTGTAGGCCTCTGGGATCGCTGACCGGACATGAGCGAGGCAGCCCCTCCTCCATGGGAGGCCGGCCGGAAGCGGCCCGTAGGATCTGGCACAAAGTACCTGTGCCAGATGTCCGAGTATGGAGAGCGGGCATTCCACGGCTTGAAGCGACCCGACCACTGCAACAGCTTGGCACTGGTCACGAATAGACGCGAGTACTGGCTCCCTGGTGTCACCCCTGCATTGCCAATACGGTAAAGCCTTGTTATGTTAGCTCAGCTCTTACACTTTTTAACGAACTGAGATAATTTGTAGCTGCCATGTGATCCTGGAAAATGCTTGAATTGCTTGTCAGCGCGAAACTCTCATTGTTCCATACATATTTTACTGAAGATAAATTAATTTTTGTAGAGTGCTGTGAGTATGATGTGTACAGCTGCAATGAAAAAAGATCAGCCGAAGTGAATTATTACGATCGAATGAAAATTTCGACCAGCAGTTGATATGCGACCTAAAAGGTCAACTATAGCAATTTTTGGAGGCCAATGGATCTCAACTAAATTCGCTGGGTACGCTCACTTGCATGTTTGCGCCATTCATGCTGAATTGCAGGCTTGAGAGTTTAGCACATTCATTTCAAATGAATTTTATAATTTCCCTCCAAACACTCGCCTCGTTAGCCAGAATTATAGGCAACCTTGTGTGCGTGACAATGATTTTCGCAAAGTGGAAGTGAAGGAACTGATGTGCCACAGCAGCGTCTGCTTGTCTGCTATAGATCGTGTGGAATTGGCTGGCGCTTCCTTGGTTGAGCGCGTGATTTCCTTGTCGTTGTTGCTGGGCGTGCGATGGGTGGCAAGTGTTGTTGCGTTGGGGGCCACACGATTCATCCCATATTTATTATAACAGCATGAGAATTTTAGCTGATCGCCGCCGGCACAAGCTTGGATGGTCTAGGCAAGTAGTGCCACCTGGCGGCATTATGCGCAACCATGCAAGTTCTACCAAAGTACTACGTCATACATAGAAGCACACTCGGTTGTGTTTTGGTTTTGGTATTGCAGTTTTCTGCGAATTTAAAATTAGTTTCGGCTTTGCTGAGCATTTCAGCTATCGGGCACGTGAGAAGAGCGTCTTAGGAACATAAAAGCGCCATTACCCTGACATGGTGAAAAATCACCGGAGTTGGCCTTCAAGGATGGGGACGCTTTCTGCTGAATATCTTCGATTTAATTCCTTAAGCGTTCATGACGACCTGAGTTCGTCATGTGCAGTTGTCACTTTTTGCTTGTGAGAACCTGAACTTGTGGTGGCTTCTTAGCATTGTTTCAAAAGACTTTTGACAAGCCCAACTCGGGCAGCATGGGTTTGGTGATTGGCACTTTTATGGCATGAGTCTGAACACTAAATGGAGAAATGAGCACCTTGCATTTCCTGTTCGTAATAAACAAGGTTGGCATAGTGCAGTACATTAAACGCTACACCATACCTGGTAGACTCGTAGGGTTTGAATTGAACTATTCAGGAATAATGCATTTTGTGCACGGGAAGTAATACGCAACCCTCACTTTTTGAAGTTGCACAAAGTCCTTTCCAAATACAGATGAAATGCCCTATATATGGGGTATTAAGAGCCAGCAGCCTGAGTGAGAAAACCATGGCACAGTTTTATTCTGATCAGGGGACTTTTTTTTTAGAGAGAGCGAAGCAGCAAAGTTTTACCGAGAGTCAACTGTAGATGACCCAAATTCAGGATGACATATTTTGCATGCTCTCTATCAATTTGTATCGAGGTTTTATTGTATACTAGTATGTGCTTGGTTCTTGGGGACATTCTCGTTCCAAGCATGATCTAATTGTCTCACAAAGCAAAGACTAAGACCGGCAAGCATCCCAGTGTGAGCGATGCAGACGCAGAGCTTAGTTCTGAATTGACTAGCAGTGTCACAGAATAACACTGTCGAACGAATTAGCATCATTCTCTGACAGGTTTCCAAGAGAAGTATCGTGCACTCCGTACCTAGATTCCGAACGTGCCACTGGGGGTCCAGTAGGCTGGTTTTGTTGTGGAGTGCCAGCAGCAGGGGCCCCAGGGGTCCCTCCCGCTTGAAGATTTTCTCCCTGGATGAACGTCAAGAAAAAAGATCAAGCAGTGCTCCTAGATAAGTTGAAAAATTTAGGCAGTGAGGAATGAAAATTGCTCCAGGTTAGAGAGAGGCACGACTGCCATAGAAACTTTACACCCCTACCCTTACGAACATTTATCAGCAGAGACAGGATAATCTCCCTCCTCCCCTTTATTTGTGCCTTACAAATTAAATGTTTATTGAAACTTGTTGTTGGGCTAGTAGGTAACTTGTTAAATAATTGAGTGTAACTTAGGAATGCTTAGAAACACACACACAATCATGCACGCTTTCACTAAAAAAATGCACAACACTTTTTGTAGCGTGACTTTCTTGAGTGGAAATGCAAGTGAATGTGCGAGTGCTTTAGGGCACTGCTATGTTGCGCTAAACTACTTACAGCAATCGTTTAACGAACTTCTCCAGTATTCGGGCTTTGGTGAAACCTCATTGCAAGAGACACTCAGGAATTCGGGGAACACGCCTCTTGTAACAAAATGTTCCATAACGCGGAAGAGTCTTAACTAAACCCCCTTATTATACGTCTGTATCAAAGTGTCTTAATTTTAAAACACACGCTTAGAAGTCGGTCACAGTGGTTGTTTTAGCAACTATGTGTTGCATTAGCATAATAACCTCTGTTCTATTCGAGCTATCCGCATAATTACTTTTTTTTTGCCAGAAAGAAAAATGCATGCAGTATGCAATATGCCTAATTTTGAAGCTAAATGCAGATAGAAAACTTTTTAATTGGGTCACAGGTGTGACAAATGAAGGTGGCTTGTTTTTCTCTGAACATTGATGAATTATAACTCCTGTTGTAATCGGCCCAGCAAATTGACTTGTAGCATATTGCACTCCTTAATTATCCTGCATTGTTTCTACACTGTCGCCAATGTTTTGGTGCTTCCTGCTTATATGCTAATTAGGCTGCAAACAAAAGACCCAGGTTTTACATTGACTGTGGAGTATCTTAGAAACTACTTGACCAATCAAAAAGTAATTACATTTTTTAGAATCTGCCCATCTAAATACACAAACTAAAATTTTTGTTCGAATCTATACATAAATAAAAAAAGTTGCCCATCAAGTGTAGCCTCTCCCTTTAAATGGGCTTAGCGATTGCAAGCGTCACTTCCACTGTGTTAGCTGTCAATTTTAATCTTTAAAGCCATCATTCTTGATCAGGTACTTACACTGATGCACACATAATAGACAAGCTATTTTTACCACCCTGCGCTGCTCCGCACATAGGCGCAAACCAAGCATATGGCAGCAGCTTTAGGCCCAATGCGCAGTAAATAATGTTCTCACGCAAGTGAAGTGTTAGACAAACAGGAGTTTGTTGTACAGTCAAACACGGATACAGTTGAGCCAGCTTATAACGAACCTGAGCATGACACAGCATCCGTTTGCTGTATCTCGATGTTCGTAGTAAATGAAACAACTTTTAAAAAGTTGCCAGTGAAGACACAGACTTTCTTTGCCCCAAAAAGTCCGTGATGCACGTGTTTTGAAGAGCAGAAGCCATAAGCGCTGTCTCGAGTTCATTCAAAACGGCAGGGTGCTCGTTCGTCAAGGCCTGTGGCATAAGCTGCATGAGGCACTGGCTCCAAAGTTTCGTCGTTCTCGCAATCCGATCCCTCCAAATCGCTCTCGCCACGTACTTCATTCACAATGCCCCAATCCGTTCATGGTTCCGCAGTGTCGGCATCATCATCCGCTGTAATTGGACCATGGCAACAGATGTCCCACCTGCTCTCCCAGGTCGGAGTCGACGACGCGCTGCCACAAATCGCCGCCGCAGTTCGGCAGCTTCAGGCTCGGCATCGGGCCCGACGTCGACGAAGTCGGCCTCGCGAAAACAGTTTCGCGCGCATGTAACGGTCACCGCCGCCCACGAAATATTCACCATCTCCACAGCTGAATACCGAGACACCCGAAGCGGCAAGTTGGCTGCCAGGTGGACAACGGCGATGAGCAAGCGCTCCACAACGCGGCACCTAGCACGCGGATTACGCTCAAGTCAAGTGGTCACACTTTTGACGTTTTGTTGAGCGGCAGGAAAAAGCGTGCTAGTCCTCCCATCTGCCATCATGACCACACACGCACACCAAAAGCGAGCAAGCAGCGCACACGCGACACACATGCCAGAACGCGTCCAACAGCTCTGGGCCCGTTTCCAGTCAGAAAACGAAACTAATTCGAGCCAGCGTGACAGGCGAAGAAGTTGTGATCAAGAGAGGAGAGCAGACTTGCGAGATAAGGGCAAGGAGTTGCGATAAAGAGAGGAAAGGATGCGGCGGGAGGGCGACCTTGAAAACCAAAACATACGGGAAGGAGGCAGGTTGGGTAGCTTGCTTGAAAAGTCCGGGAAACTCGCACGTAAAAAAAAAACTTGGAAAGAGCGCCTGCGCGCGCAGAAGTCGAAGCATGGCCGCCTGGATCGGTGCGTGCAGCGGTGTTCGCAGAATAGGCGGCTGTGGTCAAAAAATCGTTTTGTTGCACCGGCGGGTTTGAGTGGCCTCGCGAACTTCGATATTTCGCGATTCATTCCGCTCAAATTAACAGCCGTTTTCGCGCTTCCGCACACACGTGGAAGGTATGCTGAGCCAAGTTCAAAGTGAGCGAGAACAAGTCCTAAACACAAAACAAATCGCAAATTATAATAGTCGGTGGGTAGCGTACGCGCATGCACTAGACGCAGACTATCGGATACAGTCGGTGGCCAACGATGTTGGAAAATGGTCTGGTCACTCCAGGCCGGCAACGCCAACCACAGTACCAGCGATCAAAAACAGTGTAGATGGCCGACCGTTCTTTGAAAGATCGGTGGCAGTGTTAAAACACGGGCCTCGTCTGGCAATGCGGGGTGCTCAGAGTAGCGGGGGGACAAAGGACAGAGGTGTGCGTAACAAAAAGCAGTTGGGGCATGGAGAAAGGAAACAACTTTCCTTCCTCCATGGGTTAGGGAGAGCGGCAACTAGAGGGTCGTGGAGACAGGGTCGGCGTTTAACATTAAGAATGTATGGGCACCTCGCCGATGCCTGATCGGTGGTCAAAATTGGTTTCCCGGAAAGTCGGCAGACTGCTGACTTCGTTCACTGTAACCGATCAGCGGCGCATGGGGACGTTCGCTGTAAGTGCGATTTTGTGCCATGGAACCAATATATATTTTCACGGTCACGCTGATATTGTTTGTTTTAAGGGGGCCGTTATATGTGGGCTCAACTGTATATCGAACTGGAAGGGGATCCCGAATTAGTTCGATATATGAAAAATTATATATGAGGGTACAATGAGGGTACAATCAAAGTCCACGCAACTCCATGAAGTGCATGATGATGAGTGGGCGAAGCTGGGGCCTAAAGTTTCTGATGTCAACATTGAAGTCGCCCAATGGTATAAAGGGCTTGTGCTTGAAGGTGTTTCATATTATCCCAGCACAATTATGATTGATATTACACTCACACCTCGTTATAATGAAGTTGAAGGGGAGCCACAACTATTTTGTTATATCCATTATTTCGTTGTATTGATTATAGCAGTTTGTGGCAATGTATGCTCAGATGGGCGCACACCTATAAGCATCCAAAGGAAGAAACTGCCTCGCGGGCCGATGTACCGCGACGCGACTACGCGTGCTACGGAAAATAAACTCAGTTGAATCGCATTAATTCGAACTTTCGGGTAATTCGAAGTCACGCTGAGGTCCCGTCAAAGTTATGTGTATTCCAATGAGCGAAAACGCCCTGTAATTCGAATGCGCAAGCACTTGCGTCAGTTAATTCGAACATACCGTGCTCCGAAAATGCTCTCAGCACAATGCCCGATCCCGCGGCAGCACCTCTCAACGCTGCGCGCGAAGAAGGAAAAGAAGAAAAGAAGAGTTGGCGGACTCGCTCGCTGGATTCTGTGTCGACAGGTTGTGCCCTACTCCGTCTCCTGACGCCGACAAGAGCTCTCAACGAGTGGTGCCTCGTCCTCGAACTCCTGCGACCAGGTCCATTTTTCCTACTTCCTCTTTACTTCTGTCGCTCGCTGTCTCTGTGCCTCGCTCTCTCCTTTCTTTCTCTCTATCTCTTCACCTTTTAATCCTATCCTTTTAATCCCTCCTTATCCCCATCCTTTGTGAGCTACTGTTAAGGTTTCGCACCTGATGCAGACAGTTACGGGGCCCTTTTCTCTTCTTTTCCCATTAAGAACCACATAAGGAAACAAAAGACTGTGGCGGATTGTTTGCTCTTTTTCAAATGCCTATCTGCGACGCGCCTATGCGACACCCCCAGGGGTGTCTGCCTGTGCCACGCTAAGTCCACGCTTCTCTCTTTTCCGTCTCTGCACATATATAGAGACTCTTCAACTTTCAAAACCGCGGGCATAAACAGAGGGAAAAAAAAAAAGAGCTGTCACGGAGAGTCCCCCTTTCTCGGTGCAGAGGGTAGCAGCCATGGCAGAGACGCAGTCATTGCCGTCATGAGAAAAAAATCGCTTTGCACCGCGGCGCCGTTTCGCGGTCTTGTGACCCGCTGAGCGCTTCCTCAATCCTCTCCACTGGCTGTGTGAGGAAGACGGCTCTCTCTCGGCCGGGTGGGGCGTGGCTGTAAGGTCGGCACGGGAGTTTTGAAAGGGCCGCGCCGAACGAGCGTCAAACTTTGTCGAAAACGATATACTTTACACACTGCGATCGGTTTTTTATAGACTATTTGATAGACTAATTTAGTTCATTATATCCATGTACCAGTCAACTTTACTTTGTTACAACAAGGTTTAAAATGCACAGTTCTCAATGGAGCTCCCAAGGGGAATTTCATTTACTTCGTTATATCCCATTACAATATAACAAGATTTGAGTGTAATGCATCGTTAAACCTTTTTTTTTTGTGTGCCACATTAGTTCCCCTGGCGTTGCCCGAAATAATGTAAGTTGAGTGATATTATGTGACTTAAGGAGTCAACAACAAAGCTGGGTCCTGAGGTCCATAACGTCTACGCTGAGGTCACTAACTTGTATAGAGTATACCTTTTTAAAACGAATCTGCTTACAAGAGACATTCGGATACTACATACTAATTGGCGGCAATTATGCCAACAACCCTATTTGTTCCATTGATTCAGCTTCACTTACTACGGATTCCAGTACAACATACATTCGAATATAATTGACTAGCATGTGAGACAAGCAGGGTGGTCAGGACACACTTACGGCAGACTTTTTTAGCACAGCCACCGCTCCTCATACTTTCGGAACGGGAAGGGTGCCGCGAATATTGACGTACCGATTTGTGAACGAAGGTTGCCGATCTCCACTCTGTTAATTACTTATGCCAAGCTATTGCGACTAAATATCAGCGTGCTTGGTTTGGCTTGTTGGGGCGCTGACACACGAAATTGCAGGTCGCTCCCACCCGTCTTGTGTGGTCGGTGCGTGGCGAGCTTGATCGGGGTCCGCTACTCATGGGCGAGATGCCTGTTCGTAGTTGTAAGGAGCCAGCAACCAATGTGATTCATAGCATTGATAGTGTGAAGATTGACCGTGGTTTTGTCCAAAGCCGTTGTAACAGCGACAACCACACGCATTGTAGAAGACAGTGCATGCGCTGGTTGCACACGTACGTCCGAAGCTTCGCGCATGCTGCTCTCTGCATTCGTTCCATGATGTTGGTACTAAAGTTCATACCACCCGTCAGAACTAGAAAACGTGTTAGGAGCATCCGAATTTTGGCCCCATGGACACAGTGGAATCTGGCTGGGAAATTTCACGAATTCGTATCTGCTGTAGTTTTGCATCTCTAGGATTTTAATGTACGCTTAGATTAACGCCTCCTAAATTCGTTTATTATAATATGCGCTGGGTTCGCAAAAAGCCTGGAGTGAATTGAACTGCATTTTCGTCAATGCGGCCAGATCACAGTCAGACATTTTGATTTCCGAGAGATTTTCACGATAAACATACAAATGGAAGAAACAAGCCGAAATCCGGAAGACTTGGTAGGTATGAGTGTGTGGCCTACTTTCAGCACAATCACAAGAGCATGCCCGGGCACGTGGCGGCATCCCGCGACACGACACTCACAACTATCCTCTGTGATTTTCCTCGCGGCTAGCTAACGAAGTGGTGAGTGCGATGGCCGAGCAAAGTACCAGCGGTATCCGAGTGTAGCATGCGGCCCCACCACTCACCTGAGATTCGCTCTGATCCAGTTCTCCGCCATCTCGGTGACGTTCTGTCGGACCCAGTCGGCCATGCGCACCACAAACACACCCAAGTTGAGTGCGCACTCGTTGGACTCCAGGCCTAAGTCACGTAGTGATGACCGACTCAGGTCCAGAAGCTGGTGGTAACGACTCTACCATAAGAAAACAAAAAAGAAATTGGATATCTGTAACAGCCTCAAACTTGTGAGCAAAACAACTAAAAACAGAGCAGTAACAACGTAATGACTGATATTAAAATGACACCATAGTGCCAAAAACTACAACTGTGCAAATATCAATATTTTGAGGATGAAGTGGATTCGAATATTGAAGCATGAGTGCAAATCGAATTGAATATTCTTTTAATATTTCAAAGCAAAACTGCAGGAAAAAAAGTTTGCAAGAATTCCTAAGCATATTCTTATGAGATAGCAACATGAAAGTGTTTCTTTTGGCTAGCTTAATGAAGCCCTGGCAGGGCAGCGTTTCATAGTTGTCTTATCAATAATGAAGAGATGCAGATGCTGAATAGTATTTATGTTCCTTATTGGGTATGACCAAATTGTTGCAGACACTTTACATGTGAAAGGTAAAGATGCTATTTCTCAGCCTCTCCTCCTCATTCAACTTCAGGGTGTCTACCAATTTAATATTTCTAAATTCCCTGACTTTTTCAGGTTTTCCACGATGATTAAAAGCAAAGTCCATGACTGCCATGTCTGCTTGGAAAACTCTGGGCACTGAAAACAAAGTTTCGAGTGGGAAAAAAAAATTACGGGCTCCACATAAAAGAGAAAAACATATTTACCCAACGCACTCACAATGTTCCGTGTGTGTGTGGTAAATGTGAAAAATATGTATATAATATATGTATATGTGAAAAAATATGTATCTGGCCAAAATAAAACCCCTGGGCAAGGCAGTGAGCAAGCTAGCTGTTTGATGTTCGGAAGAACCATGAAGCAAACACACCAGTTAAAAGTAACCACAGATGAAAGTTTGAAGAAGTCTGCAATAGCCCGACATTGCAGTCAAAGCTGCTAGGAAACGCGTCAGTGGTGCTATCCCACGACATCCATGCAAAATAAGGACACAGGAGCCTGGCTGGTTCTGCCACTGTAGTATAATCTAGTTTACTATACTGGCTGTAGCCCATGCCATTTAGGATGTGGATTGAATTGAATAGGGATGGTCAATTAAAATTTTTAATTGATTATTCGTTAACCATTAATTGATTTAGCCTTTAATCGATTAATCGCTTTTGATGGAATGGTTTGATTAATCGATTAATCAACATTTTTTGTGGGTGCTTTAAAACCGATATCTCTTTGTTTGAGAGGAATCATTTGTGTTTCATATAGACCCAAACCTTTTTATCAGACATGCTGATGATCGAAAATTCCGACTTTCGAAAGTGTCGACAACGGGTTTCTTGTGTCCAATGTGCGAAAATTCCCACTTTTGCACATTGTACAATAGGAGCCCGTCCTCGTTGGTTGATGTCGCAGATTCCAGCACCTGTGGCCATCATCCTTGCACTATTCGGCAGCAGGCCATATTTTCTCGAAGCCTGCCTACTCGAGCTTTTCGAAACCGGAGGCGCATTCGGGGACGACAATGGTTGGAAAGTCGTAGCTGAAACATGCAGTGTGGAGGGTGAGGGAATCCCGAGAAATGTAAAAGAGAGATGAGGAGGAAGAGGAATTAAATAAGACGCTTGCTCTCGTAAGCACGGTATCTTTTTTTGGTTTGTCCGTTAGATAATGTGGAAGCCTTACATAATACTATCATTGTGGACGGACGCGATCTTTTCCTTAAGGTCACCTATGCAGAGATTACACTGAAACATACTGGCCTCAAACTGACCATCGGTACAGGCAACTGGGGGAAATAGAGTTACACGAGTTTCTGCCTCCCGGCTAGCATAAACAGCAGCTGCGCCAGTATACACCGCAGGTTTTGTCTGGTCGTTGCCTTAACACGGCGCCACTTGCACCTTTTCAATCGTGCTTACAGCCTGAACTGTGAGTGCTATCTAGTGTATTTCTGCCTCGATGGGGTGGAGTCGCCACCTGCCGGAGCTTGAAGCGTTGGGGAGTGCTTGGAGTTGGATGCCGTTCCAGGCATACGCGACAAAGATCTGGGCGAGTTGATATCTTTCTGTATGAGGTATGGCCGCCGCCAGCTCCGGGCTTGTTCTGCTAGCGCAGAAATATGCGTTGTAGTGAAAGCAGTGAAAGAAAAGCGACGTGCATGGCATCTGTGTTTCAGGATAGTGCGCCTCGCAGTCATGCGCTGTGGCCAATGGCCGAGGTTGGGGGTGGGAGTGTGGGGTGCCGTAGTCGATTAATCGAATAGGTTTAATCAATTATTTCAATTAATTGAAAGGCAAAAATAGATTACAATTATTTGATTAATAGCAGACCTTTAATTGATTAATCGTAATAGATTTTACCATCCCCAGTATTGAATTGAGCCCCGCCGCTGTAGTCTAGAGGCTAAGGTACTCGGCTGCTGACCCGCAGGTTGGGGGATCGAATCCCGGCTGCGGCGGCTGCATTTCCGATGGAGACAGAAATGTTGTAGGCCCGTGTGCTCAGATTTGGGTGCACGTTAAAGAACCCCAGGTGGTCTAAATTTCCGAAGCCCTCCACTACGGCGCCTCTCATAATCATATGGTGGTTTTGGGACGTTAAACTCCACATATCAATCAATTAGGATTTAATTGAATTTGATAGGCCTGTACTGCTGTATTTACTGATTGCACTATTTAGGATGTGCATTGTATTAGATATGATTCAACCTTGATTGCTGCATTTACTATTGATTTGCATCCCCGCCTAATTTGCACACCTATAAAATATAATTTTTTGCAAAAAAAAAAGGATAACTAATACTCCCGTATTCTGTGTGCCTTGCCTTGACAACGAGTAACGGCAATGTTGCAAGAATAGAGCCGTACCGCAAAATTTTTTTTCTTCCTTTCTTTTTCTGATGAGCGCATGCAGGTTTGTATTTCATGTCTCTGGGCTCCAACACTTGAAGTGCAACAGAAGTGCTCGGACGACTGCAATAAAAGCTGGGGACAGCGTTTAAAGTGCCAAAGTTTGAATATGTGGTGGCAAGAAAGAATCTGTCAAGATGCAACAGCTACCTTGATTCCACTAATGAGTCATGGATGTCGGCACATTACCTCGATTTACGCACTCTTCTGTGAACATCATGCTAAAAAATAATTGCAGATATATTTAAACAACCTCACGAAACTTAAATTAGAAAATTTCCTGAGGGTACACAAGTGCTACCCTTGAAACACAAGCTACCAGCAATAAGTGCGTAGCTGAGTACGTTTGCTGTTGTATCACCAATAATACTACTACTACTACTACTAATAATAATAATAATAAAAGGCATGCGTAGCCTGGCAACCTTCTGCTGATGGTAGTTATAGCCTAGACAAACCAGATGGCCTTCAAGCCGAGACAAAATCGTGGACCAGACAAACATGCATAAATGAGAAATGTTGTGGTTCGAAAGTCAGATTGGCCGTGTGATATGTAAAAGCAACACATGTCAAATAGTGCATGTACCAACATGGAAGCTGGGGAATGCTTTAGCCAATGAGAAGGACAAGTTGCCGAGCAGGGATTTCCTTGGTCTTGTTTATGCCATAGGTAGCTGGAATGATGACAACTAGTGCACCAGTGAAACTGGTGATTTCAAAAGCTAAACAACACAAATATGACGCCACGAAACAACGCGTGGCCTCGACTGCCCTGTATGCAGAATCTACAGACCACCAAACAGACTGGTCAAACGAGTGTGTTCTGGACAAAGAAAAAACCCGCATCTTTCCGCGGGGAAACTCGAGTAAATGCATCACACAGTGGTGGGGGTATCGCGTGAATGTTGCGTAACTGAGTACAGTTTGGAAAAGATTATTGTTATTTCGTCTTTATTTGAATTTATTGAATGAAGGGGAAGCATTGCCTTCAACGAGTGGTGGGACACCTATGTTGGGCTTTGCCCCACTGCTGATTGAAGGTACTGTTGCTTCCATCGCACCTTTAAGAAAAGCGTCAAGTCAAGTGAAAGCCAAGTAAAGAGGCCCTTGACTGAATTATGAATGCCTGATACAGTGTCTACATATACAGGGTGGCCAGTGAATGGTTGCGCAGTGCGAACAGCCGATTTTTACAAACAGACGCTGCCTGCGTCAACCTTGCGAGACGAGAGATATGGGGGGGGGGGGGGGGGAGAGAGCGGCAGTTGGCACGAGGTGCAAGCATGCGGCATGAGACCCGACACGCAAGCACGCGCAGTAGGGTGTAGACACCACTGCCAACGCTGGATTTGCGAGTAGGTGTGACTATAAAATGTTTCGCACCTAAAAGAAGTATGTATCATGCCTGCACCTCGAATTCAGATCGAGGCTCATACTCTCAACAGGAGTGATGGGACGCTTCTGACAATGTACTCTTGCTGCTTACGGGTGCCTTTCTTATGGCTTTTATTGTGAACAAGGCTCTCTCCAATATCAGGTGCCAAATTGTCAGTAAACATTGTGTTCCATGGGTCAATGTATCCTTGCGCGTTTACACTAAGAAGCAGCAGTTATGCACTGTTCCTTTTATTTTTTCGCACTTCTTCTAGCAGCTCACTGTAGTTGCAGTTAGAAGAGCGACTTGAGCTTTGATCAATGGTAATGCTTATTTTTGTAATGGCCGCACAGAACTGCAGTCAGTTTCCATGGTTTTTGAAAAATTCTCTGACTTTTCCAGATTTTCCAGGTTGGTAGACACCCTGAACTTCTGTGGAAGCCCAACTCCTGTGGCGGACAAGGACGTCTTCCCTTCGAGTTTGGAATTCCAAGTCTGCCTTGCAGACGTCAATATATTAGAACATCTGAAATTTTGGATGCTAAAAATCTTTGGCATCCGACTTTTCAGACTTCCTGTCCGAATTCCAGGTATAGAACAGCGTTACTTGAGTCTCAACCTTTGCCACATCTATCATATCCCTGTTAGAACTAGCGTTTTTTTGAGTCAATGCAATGATGACCGTAGCAGAGCCTGAAAGGCAGCTTCGCCGCCTTACAAATGTGTGATAGGGTGAAGCATATTCAAAATTTGAAGAAGCTGCTGTTAATTGAACATTGATTGTATGTGTTTAGAATGTTCAAATAGTTCAAATAGTAAAATAAAACAGTGCAAATTGAATCGAATAGCAAACACTATTAAAAATATTCGAAATTTCAAATACTCGTACAACTCTATCGGTAACTGCTAAATCTTATTTCTGCATGCCTCATAATGCTCCCATCAAAATAAATAAAGGTGTGTTGCAGCACATTTTTTCAATGCAGACACAAATACAACAGGCTGGTTTCAGGCGAGATGAATGAGATGGCACTCACCCCCGCTGTGTTGTACCTTCTGGACACGCTATCACAGTCTTTTGAGAAGAGTCCTATGCTACCATCTGGAATGGGCAGGGAGGCCAGCTCCGATATGTCACCTGCAAGGTACACAGCAGAAACACCGCTGACAATCAGGCAAGGTGATGGAAATCATACTGAAATACATCAGGAGTTGAAAAACATCACAGATGTGCCATTAAAGAATATGCCAAGATAAGCTGCAAGTGAAACATACATGCTTCTTCTAGTCTTCAGAAATGTCTAAACAATTAAGGCTTACCAAACTTCGCATTTCAGAATTGCAAAGTTCTGCAAAGGAACACTGTAATACAGCAATACCACAGTTACCACACAGGGCTGAGGAGAACACATGTCTTGAACACCGCACCATTTCTATTTTGGCACAGGGAAGCCTAGATATATTGAATCTGAAGGGGATCAGAAAAGAGTTCTATATTTAGGCACGGCCACTGGATAAAAACAAAGGGTGGCCTGTTGTGTTGCGTTGCCGTCAATGGGCAAATGCGTCTGGGCAGAGTTGACAGTTTTGGCTGCTTTTTTGGGGAGAGCGCTGACACTCCACTCATCAAAGCGGATGGCACTTTGTGTTTCAATGTGGCTGCATGAAGATTTGTGCGTGTCCGTGTGCTTTTTCATGCACTTTCTCGTGCTTTTTTTTCTGTATGCGATCGTGTGTGGGGGCAGTTTGCCTCATGTTTCTTGTGATCGAGTACAGTTCCTTGATGCACGCGTGTGTGGCAGATGGTATTTTGCTGGTGTGACGCCGCGAAACTGTTGTGTGCTGCTGAGCAGCTCGGACGTGAAAAAAAGACGCTGCTTTGAAGTACACTCAAACTTCATTATAAGAAAGTTGCATCTTACACAAAAATAAGTTTGTTATATTCTAAAATTTGTTATAAAGGTTTATTCCTAACACCGTAGCTATTGCAAGACTACTCTTTATTTACTTTGTTATAACCAATATTTCAATATACCCAGGTTCGTTACACCCAGGTTTGAGGGTACAACGTGATCCCCTGCAATATGCAGTGCTGAGAAGTGTATCAGGACGCATGTTATTTGTAACAGAGCAAATATTTTTGTCACAAACGAGAGCTGAATCTGACGCGCGCCATTTCCTTCAAACGACAGCATCAAATAACTGTGCCAAGCATTCTCTTCCCAGGCGCGCGCAATGAAACAAGAAAACAAGCATTAAAAGACGCCCAGGGCATGCCCTTACCTTCTACACACGCGACAGCTAACCAGCACAGATGACGAGAAGTGAAACATTGAAGGAGGGCCTCTTTTGGGGGCGGCCATGTTCGCAGATGGACCGGCGAGACAAAACCCTTTACCCTGGCTGCCGCCCTTGTACGTATGTGCTACGCGCAGTACAATTACTTGGAATGTTTGCAAAACCGGGAAGGATCCAAGCTAGCGGTGTCGGGGGGTAAGACAGATGGTGATCTCGGCTAACAAGACTGAATCGTGCAGTACAATCAGTTGATGTCGAAGAATCGAGTTATGATGCCGCTTAAGTACTTTGTTGAGAGTGCCGCCGGGATGATGACCAGCGCTGGAGTTCGTTTCAGTGTTTCCATGAAGAGAAATTTTCGAGACACATTTGCAGAAATGTGGTGTACATGCGTGTGGCAAATATTTGCGGCCGCTAAGTGTTCTTGTACAGTTTATAACGCGTGAGACTGCATTTGTAGCGCGGTAAGTTTGTTCCCTTTGTTTTAAATACCTTCTAAATAACGTTGTGAGTTGTAATTGGTAGCTGACGAATGTGGAAATTTGTGTGGTGCCTTTACTGAAAATACATATTTTGTTTGTGTCGTAAACTCCTGGTTTTTAATCCTGTCTTCACGCAACAACCGGGATTGTTGTGCACTAAAAGAACCTGCATTTAAATCGTGCGTGCTTTGGCGGTGCGTTTCAATGGGCTGATACGTCAGCCCTTGGAATCTGCCTGATGATTGCCTCCCCAAAAACAGAATCGGTGACCCTTTTCATTTCAGTTGAGTCAAACGGGCAACATTCATGGAGAGTATTGAGGCGTATACTCCACGAATTATTGGCCCTCCTAGGGCAAACTTCACATATGTGGTGTAATAGGTGCTCCTAATAACGATTAAGAATCGAACTTGTGATGTTCAGCTATGAAACGTGTTCTTTACGGCCTACTGTCCCGCGTAGAAATGCGTGTGAAAGCATTTCTCCTGAAAGGACTGTTGATACTAGAGCGAGTGTGAGGTTAAAACGGCCCGTCCCTCAACTTCGGTGGCACGCAACAGGCCCCAACTTGTTTTTTATCCAGTGGTAACGATTTAGGTAATTGAATATACAAAATATGCAGTAAAACCTCGTTAATTCGAAGTTACTGGGGACGAAAAGAATCTTTGAACTAAGTAGATTTTCAAGTCCACAGAACCAGGGTTCATAGCCCCTAAGTGAAACAAATTCAAGGGTTTTCAAAGACTTTCAAGGTCCTAACAAATACTTTTCAAGGACCTAAAATAACACTTGATGTAACAGAAAATGACAACACCACTTTTTACAGCACGAAAATTTCTACTTTCATTTTATTTGCATGGTTGGCACCATCAACGCACTCAAGTGACCACGAACTGTAGTCGCTCAATGTGTTTCGTACTCGTCATGCGACAATGAAGGGCCTGTACATTTCAACAGGACCAAACTTTTTGTCAACTGCTTCCTGATGTTGAACTTTGCAAGATAATGCAAACCTGACGGCTAAGCAGCATATGTTACATACACACTCTATATGTTCTTTGTACTAATTGTCAGCCCATTAGCACTTTATATAGCATCAGTGTCTGTCATAGTGCTGCAGCTTGGGAAACTGTGAATAGGTTGAACATCCTAGCGAAAATTGCAAGTCGCAGCCTGCACTATAAATGACTACATTACCATAGTTACAAGCATCCAAATGCTTGTAGACCTAATGAACACCAATTATATCACAGATTTGCAACAAAAATGGATCTGCTGTTACCAGTCCCAAAAAATGTAATGAAATGCTGCTATGTTCAAGATCACAAGATAGAAACAAGCACAACACACTTTTATACACTGCTAACTTTATTCTCCTTGAAGTTCCTTTTCTTCAGTGATACAGTTTTTCTGGCTTTATGATCACTTATGGATGCACCTCTATTTTGTTTCACCACTGCGGTTCAGCACTACGAAAGCTTCGGGGTGTAACAATGCCACGGGCTTGAACAGCCTAACGTAGTCCCACATACAAGTGCCTACAGGGTTGCCTAGAATTGGCGTTTCTTTGGTGTGTTATGCTACACTGATACAAAATAAGTTTATTCGTATTCACGTTTATTTCATACGCATTTAGTTATTTGTGTCGGTTACCACTGATAAAAACATGGCAGCACTCATGCAGAAGTGACCACCCGTTTCGATCTAAATTTGCTCTTGCTACACGCCCACTGCGCTGACAGCAGTAAACAAATGGTGAAATCAGCCACCGGTTCCTTTTATTGCACTATGAGACTGAAGTATCAGGTATGTTTGGTCGACATTAGCGAGATATGCTGCTTGCTTAACTGCACCTGCTAAGCCCAACACGTCGAGGCAGTGTTCCGACTGTGTCGTCAGAGCAAGAACGCTGCATCTCCAAATATCAAACGAGAAACTTCGCACAGCATTCCGTACGCGTCGGATCTTCCTTCGATGGAAAAAAAAAAGAGAGAAAAAGAGCATTGCAGCAGTAGACGCAAACGAATGCGGTGACGGAGAAACGGACATATCAGAGCCACGAACACCAGAGCCACGAACAAAGTCAGAGAGAAACAGCCACAAAGTGAATTTATCCACCTGCATGATATTCTACCGATCTTCAGCAGAGAAACAAATTCACCCTTTTTTTAAGTTCCCAGTTTAGTTGCTTGTTTAACCGTTTTACTGCATTTTTATATTAATAAACTAGACATAATAACTACAATTTGTGGAGCAGACGCTGTGAATACGAAGAGCAGATAACACAGTGTGAATGAATACATGCGTAGGGGCTAAGTGTCCTTATTGGCTGAGGCACCTGTAGCCTCTACAGTGCTGAAAGGAACTTCTGAAACAGAGCATAAGTTGTGCTCCAAAAGCAGAGCTGTTAAGCTGTTAACCTGACAAGCTCTGTCTAAATGGCATTACTCAAGAAGATGGTGTTTAAGGTCAAGATTCTGTCCTATTTTTGAGCTGTAGAAATTTTTCCTGGTCAACAAGCAGCTGAATACCATCTTCCTTTGTATGTGCAACTCAAACTAATGGGCCTTGCACACATAAAAAAAAAGCTGCGCAAATGTTTTCGGCACCTAAAATAACTATCCTCTGGTGTAAGCTTTTTTAATGAAAGTGGCATCGCACAGCAGCAGCAAAAATAGACTTGGGTTGCAGTCATGCAAGAAATAAACCTACGTAAACTTGCCCTTCCAGTGTGCTCCACCCGCAATTTTATGATGGTGATGCCACTGCATGTGAGCCCTCTAATAGGGGCTCTTGCCAATGCCGTGAGCCTGGTTTCGGTTTTTGTAACTTTTGTAGTATGCAGGCCAATTTTCAGATTCAGTTTCATCATAAAAATGTGTGTTCTAAATTCAAGAAAAAGTTCCATTGAATCTTGCTAATAGGTGCCTTGTTTTTTTGTTTGTTATTTAAATTTCACTTGAAAAACTGCTTGCTCTGGGAGAGGAAAAAAAAAAAACGAATCGAAAACTGCCTTGGAAGCATTTACAAAAGTCTACCGTATATTCGCTTTCTACAAGAGATGTGCAAATATTCAAAATTTCGAATATTTTTTATGTCATTTTTATATTTGCACCGGAATTTTCTAATTCGAACTTCTCAAAGACAATACAGTGAGCCTCTGATTAACAGGAACCCCTTCAGATTTTCAATATGCTTCACCTCATTAATCTCATATTGAGGCAAAGCTGCCTTTTCGGCTTTGCTATGGTAACAACTATGTTAATTTGAGAAAACGCTGGTTCAAACGTGGATGATAGATGTGGCTGAGGCGGGAGCTAAATTAATGCTATTTTGAACCTCAAATTTGGGCAGAAAT